AAACACAATAGAGTTCAAGAAAGAGATTGTAGAAAAATTTTTTTTTTTTTTTTTTTTTTTTTTTATCACACCGGCCGATTCCCACCAAGGCAGGGTGGCCCGAAAAAGAAAAACTTTCACCATCATTCACTCCATCACTGTCTTGCCAGAAGGGTGCTTTACACTACAGTTTTTAAACTGCAACATTAACACCCCTCCTTCAGAGTGCAGGCACTGTACTTCCCATCTCCAGGACTCAAGTCCGGCCTGCCGGTTTCCCTGAATCCCTTCATAAATGTTACTTTGCTCACACTCCAACAGCACGTCAAGTATTAAAAACATTTGTCTCCATTCACTCCTATCAAACACGCTCAAGCATGCCTGCTGGAAGTCCAAGCCCCTCGCACACAAAACCTCCTTTACCCCCTCCACTCAACCCTTACTAGGCGACCCTAACCCGCCTTCCTTCCACTACAGACGATACACTCTTGAAGTCATTCTGTTTCGCTCCATTCTCTCTACATGTCACGAACCACCTCAACAACCCTTCCTCAGCCCTCTGGACACAGTTTGGTAATCCCGCACCTCCCTTCCTAACTTCCAAACTACGAATTCTCTCTTTTATATTCACCCCACACATTGCCTCAGACATAACTCTCCCTGCCTCCAGCCCCTCCTCGCTAAACATTCAAACCCCGCTTCACCCCATAAAAGGGTTTGGGTAAAACTAAAACCCATACATTCCCCCTTTGCCCCCAAAAGGAAAAAGTTCTTTGTCTCCACAACTCCAAATGCACCACCCACTTTTTTTCCCTCATCAATTCTAGATTCACCTACTTTCATAGACCCATCCGCGACCGCCCCCTAAAAATACTAAAAACGTTCACCCCCTCCTACTCTCTCCCCCCAACGATATTCAATCTTTCATCACCTAATCTTTTTGTTATCCCAAAACCCTTTTCTCTTTCCTGTATTCCCCCTTTAATTTTTTTCTTTGCAAACCTCCCAAAATTCATCCACCAACTCTGCAATTCTCTTAAAGAATCTCCCAAGAGCACAGTGTCATCAGAAAAGAGCACTGTGACAATCCCCTTTGTGTGTGTTCTTTATTTTTAACTCCACGCCTTTCCCAAGACCCTCGCATTACTTTCTTACAACCCCCTTTAAATATTTAAACAACCAGGTGACATCACACACCTTGTCTAAGGCCTATTTTTTGGGGAAAAAAAATTTCCCTTTTTCCCTACATACTCTAATTGAGCCTCATATCCTCGTAAAAACTCTCACTGCTTTCATAACCCACCTCCACACCATACACTTGCAACATCTGCCACATTGCCCCCCTATCCACCCTGTCATACGCCTTTTCCAAATCAAAATCCCACAAAGACCCTTTTTGCCTTTTATCTAAATACTTTTATTATATGTTTCCTGAAACACCTGGTCCACACACCCCCTACCTTTCTAAAGCCCCCTTTGTTCATCTGCTATCCTATTCTCCTCTTATTTTTAATTCTTTCAATTTAATAAAACTCACAAACACTTTACCAGGTACACTAAACAGCTTACCCCCCTAAATTTTTTTGCCCCTCTCTTTTTCCCCCCTTTTGCCTTTATACAAAGGAAACATGCTGCTCCTGCAATCCCTAGGTCCTTACCCTCTTCCATTTTTATTAAAAATTGCCCCAACCACTCCAAAACTATATCCCCACCTGCTTTTAACTTTCTATCTTTATCCATAATCCCCTCCCTTTTCCCCCCTTTTTTTTTACCTACTGCCTCCGAACCCCCCACACTCACACGGCTCTTCTCCTATCTAAAAGATGTTTTTCCCTCCTTGCCCTTACACGAAATCACAGCTTCCCTATCTTCATAAACATTTAACAATCCTCAAAATTTTCCTTCCATCTCCCATACCTCAAACTCCCTTTTAAATAACTCTCCTCCCCTTTTTTAAACCCTGACAATCCATTGTTCTCTAGGCTTTCTTAACTTGTTAATCTCACTCCAAAACTTTTTCTTATTTTCAACAAAATTTGTTGATAACATCTCACCCACTCTCTCATTTGCTCTCTTTTTACATTGCTTCACCACTCTCTTAACCTCTCTCTTTTTCTCCATATACTCTTCCCTCCTTGTAGAAAAATATGGCATACATTTAGCCGAGCTTGCCAGGATGTATGGGAGGTCGAAGATTTTGAAGGGTTTGAAGCTGACCCTGTGCCTGTTGTGGAATGTATCGTGTCTTGGGGAAGTCCATGGGGTTGGATGCGAGTGCCAGAATGTGGAAGAGTTGGCGGAACACCACAGGGACGAGCTAACCACTGAAGAGCTACAAGACCTTCAACTGGAAAAGCAACAGACTGCAGCTGAGGAAATTGCTTCAGAGGAGGAGGAAGAGAGAGGGAAGAAGGTGCCTTCTGCAGTGATTAAGGACATGTGTGCAAAGTGGAATGAAGTACAAACATTTGTTGAAAAATATCGCCCTGACCAAGCTGATACAAGCCATATCTGCAACATGTTCAGTGACAATACCTTGTCCCATTTTAGGCAAATCTTAAAGAGAAGCCAGAAACAGAGCTCTCTGGACAGATTTTTAGTGCGACAGGGGTCCAGTGCCAGTAAAAGACAAAGAAGGGAAGTAACCCCAGAGAGGACTTTGATACCTGAAGTCCTTATGGAGGGGGATTCCCCTTCCAAACAATAACCTCAACTCTCTCCTCCTCACCTTCAATATGCCAACAAGAGTCTTCAATAAAGGTATGTAATGTTCATTCATCATTAAAATTAGTGCTTTATATTTATTTCTCATTGTTTTCTGTATGTAAAACTATATTCTTTTAAAAGACGAATTTTTTGTGAATGTTTTTGGGTGTCTGGAACAGATTAATTGGTTTTACATTATTTCTTATGGGAAATATTACTTCGGTTTTCGTACGTTTCAGATTTAGAATGACCTTCTGGAACGGATTAAGTATGAAATCCGGAGTTCCACTGCATTTTGTCTCTGGCAACATAATTTCTGGTCGGACACAAGAGGCATGTGTCTACCACCACAATGAAAATGGACAGGTCCTGGACAATGCCTGGACCGTACAAACTTGTGATTAAGCAGAGTTGGTCCATTTTATTATGTGTATGACTGGACTGGACAGCCATTAGATATTATGGATTTGGTTATTTTAATTGGACATCCCATTAAATGTACATGTTGAGCATCCTCCAACCCCATTTTTGTCCAATTTAAATGATATCTACTTTATGGGGATCTGTTTAATTGGACTTTTACTGTATATTTATCCCATGAACACAAAATGAATTAGCAGGGAAGTCTTTCTCTTGAATGACAAGTATCTGAATAAACAAGTGATAATTAAAGTGGACCACCTCTCATATAGTATTCAATCCACAAGAATCTAAGTTAAGAGTTCAATTAATATAATACAGTAAATTCTTTAAAATCTGGCACTTAAAAAAGATAGAATTCTTGAAAAATTAATTACAAGGATCACTGCCTTACTGAATACTATGGATAATCCCAGGAGCTGCCATTATTTATTTTTAACTAGCCTAGTAGTTATCGAAATCCAGAGATGAAGAGGAATCCAGATGTGGTCTGGTATTTTATTATGACAGAAATTTAGAGAAGCACTGCACTCTACAGACCTGGTTCAGAGATGCCCTGCAGATTACAAACTCTGGTGGGCCTCCCTTTCCAATTGGCATACAGTGCTTTGAAATATGAACTGTCACTGTTAACTCAAGCTTGAGTGGCAGTGACACAAAGATCACCCCATACAAATTTACATTTGAGAAATCACTGCATACACAATTTTCTCCTGGCATCACTAACTGCTCTGGCCACCACACCACAGTATATTTGGTTTTTTGATCACTCAGTCTTGTTAAGAACCTTCTATACATGATATTTTTCAATCTGCTTCATGTATTTAAATACAGTATAATACGAATTAATATTATTTTTAACATAGAATGCAAACTTTATAACACTTACGTAGTGTCAAAACTGATCAAGAGATTATACTTCAAAAAATCAGTATGGTCATGGTTTCAAGAAGGATGGGTTATAAAAAGTTCACTGTACTCTGTTAATCTCTTCTCTGAACTCTAATTATCATGGAAGCTGACCTTGCTTAGGAATTGTCCTAAAAAGAATTTTTAAGTGCTGAAAAAATTTAAGGAAAGATTTAGTACAAAATCTAATTAAAAAAATTTACTGAGAATCAGTAAGTGAAAAAAAAGAAAGTGATCAACATAAACTCTAACTAGCATCTTATACTAAATAAAAATTTGATTTAAAATGCTTCAAAATAGAAAAACTCTGATATTATTGAGGATAATATTTTCTTCATTACACCAGATAGTGAATTATTTTATCTTTTTGGCCTCAATTCTCTTTTGCACAGTTAACCCTAAAAAAATTATAATTTTCTTTAAAACAAAATACATTATTAAAACTTCATTTTAAAATACGTACATTCATGCTACACATTCATTATAAAAAGCAGCCAAATGACAAGCTGCTACACAGTTGCTGGATTCTGACTTTCTTAGAAGCCTAAAAATAAGCAATATAAAGCAAGAAGAATTTTAATTCTATTATAATACAGTTATCAAATATGTCATGCATGTTTACTGAAATGGACTCTTAAAAATGTCGATAAATGTATCATACAAATTTAAAAGTATGGTAAAGCAGATGACAAATTCACTAATATGCAAAGATACTTTCTCTAGTCATACATGAAGGCAGCCATTTACATATATGTAGTATAGGGTAAAGTGACCAATGAAGGTCAGTAGGCACATCTTAATCTAAAATATACAATAAACTAATGTATATAGGTTGAAAAATGTACAGGTTAAAACCATTGACAAATCATGGTACTTGTCCCTATGTTTCTCTCAGAGAACCTTGAAAAATCACATTATTCATGCTCTTTCAATATAAAACATAAATGACACATGTTTTCTTGCAAACATGCCAAGCATGAGCTTACCTGGTCAGGAGAGAGCGAGGAGTCTCCTCCAGCGTTCCTTTCTTGGTTCTGTGCTGAACGTTCACTTTTACAAGCATTGTGGTAGTCAGCTCTGCTCTTGTTTACCTTTTCAAAAAGCTTGGACCAAGGTTTCTGGGCTTTTTTGAACATATCTTCAATATCTTTTTTCTCTTTCAGCTGCCCCATCATGGACTGAAAAAAAAAATTATTAAATTCTTCATTCTAATATAATACTAATACTTGCCGAGGAATAGTACACATTGTGCTACTAAACTTAATTGTACTTACTGAAGCTAAAACACAATACTAATCAACTCCTGTGATGACTCATAACCACCAATGGATTTTTTATTGATTTTTTAATCCATGTATGTGGTTAACCTCTACTGCTAAGCTTCTGCTTTACCCATTCACTATTCATTTGATCAAGAAATTTCTTCTTGCATATTTATAACTTATTCTGCTGCTTTGTGATATCAGCACACTATTGGCAAGACAGTAATTGAATGAGCGGTGATTTTTTTTAAGGGGTCACCCTACCTCAGTGAGAGATGGTCAGTTTGTAAAAAGAAATTTGAGGCACTAAACCCATGTAGGCCATTAAATGCAAGATATAATGGAGAGACTATTCTCTGTTCACTAGTCAAGAGCAGAAATGTTACTAAAAAACATTACCTAGTTGTACTGTTTACCTTTTTAATATATATATCTTGCATACTGTGATTATATACCCTCTGGCAATATAAAGATAATTACTATAATAATAATAATAACTTCATGGGGAAGTGAAGAATTCTCACTTTGTAAGCCATGCATGTCGTAAGAGGCGACTAAAATGATGGGAGCAAGGGGCTAGTAATCCCTTCTCCTGTATAAATTACTATGTACAAAAAAGAAAAACTTTATAAAAGCATGTCTTCTTTTTTAGGTCACCCTGCCTTAGTGGGAGTTGGCCGGTGTGTTAATTAAAAAAAATAATAATAAATAGTGATTAAAAGTGGTGATGAGAATAAATAAGCAGAGCTAACATGTACAAGAGATAGGTAGACCATTTACAAAAGCAAAAATATGAAGTGACCTACTAAAGTAACTGTCTTACCTTGTGATAATTATCCCTTTGCCACTGTTTAACATTGCTGTGTACTTCATTAATTAAGTTTTCTTTGACTCGCATATGTAGGTCACATCTTTGCTCAGCTTCCATGAGCACCCCTTTCCATGCTGCCTCAGTCGTGCCATACTCTGGACCTGCTCAAGCATTAGTCATTTATGTGACAGTAACATACATAGTCCTTTATACCAAAATGAGATATAAATTCACAGCCAATTACACAATATGAGGGTCATTATGGTAAAGTATGGTCCAAAAACACACACGAGTAAACATTAGGACACAACCATTAAGAAAATGATCGGGGCCTGGGGCCTGGATCACTTCTGATAAAGGTTTCAGGACCAAAATGTTGTCTAATGAGTGTGTCCTAGTGTTCTGGACCAATTACCAAGGTTTATACTATGGTACAGTATTCTACTCACCTTTTTCTATTATATTGTTCCACTTCTTTGCCCATTCTTTGAGAGACTTGGCATACATTTTCTCAATTTCTGCTCTTTCTGACACTAATTTCATCAGGTCATCACAGAGTCTATTTCCATCCTCAATTCTTTTTGTTGTTCGTTTATAGTTGCCCACCTAAAAATACAAAACAAAGTGAAGAATTTTTAATAGTCAACGAAAACTGTGGCTACCCTGTTTTTCACTTGTTCTACTTGACACATCTTCCCATATCCCTCACTACAGTACACTGTGATAACAGTATTCAGATCTGGGACTAGGCGCTGCACTATCTTCCAAGTGTATATTATTGCATATCTCTTACCTTCTCTTCAAGGAGTACATTTACAATTCTCTGAGGCGTTGCCAGTAGTTTAAATGTTTTATTGGTTTAATATAGATAGTACACTATTTTTTCCTGCTTCGCGAAATTTGGGTAGTAACCTCCATAGATTTTCACACTGGTCACCGTGCCCAGGGCTGTGCTTCGAACCGTGCCAGAAGTGGCTTCCACCCTCCCACTGTTCTTTGAAGAATCAGCGGGAGGCATATATCCGCTAAACAGTATTTTTTATTACCTATTTAGTGTTTTCCAAAATTGATATGAACACTCTTATATAATATAAAGAGTTAAAGAATAGTGCCTGATATTTACCAGTGACGGTATCGAATTTTTCTACTGCTGAAGCTGGACATGAGGCCTGGCCTGAAGGTAGTAACTCTTATAATTGCACATTCCTGTTCCAACTGTGGCTGATGTGTACTGTGCGAAATAGTAATTAAATAAGTGTTGTGGAAGTACGATCTTAACCGAGGTACAGCCATGCCATAGTTATTGGTTTATAAGACCACCATAACTTTCACTGTACTGAGCCATAGTCGCCACCCTTCCTTCCTTCCTTCCTTCCTTCCTTCCTTCCTTCCTCCCCCCCCTCCCTCCCTCCCTCCCTCCCTCCCTCCCTCTCCCTCCCTCCCTCTCCCTCCCTCCCTCTCCCTCCCTCCCTCTCCCTCCCTCCTCTCTCTCCCTCTCTCTCTCCCTCTCTCTCTCTCCCTCCTCTCTCTCCCTCCCTCTCTCCCTCCCTCTCTCTCTCCCTCTCTCTCTCCCTCTCTCTCTCCTCTCTCTCTCCCTCTCTCTCTCCCTCTCTCTCTCCCTCTCTCTCTCCCTCTCTCTCTCCCTCTCTCTCTCCCTCTCCCCTCTCCCTCTCTCTCTCTCCTTCTCTCTCCTCTCTCTCTCCCTCTCTCTCTCCCTCTCTCTCTCCTCTCTCTCTCTCTCTCCCTCCCTCCCTCCCTCCCTCCCTCCCTCCCTCTCTCTCTTTCTCTCTCTCTCCACATGCTGACACGCCGCTCACTGTAAGTTCCTTTAAGCACTATGGCAGAAATATATAAAGTAAATCCTGGATTTAACGGAAACACTGGATAAAATCTCTTGCGCCAATTGATAAAAAAACCATGGACAAAGTTCGTTAGTAATACAACAAAAAAGGTTACTCACCTCCCAGAAGGAGTCTGTGGAGGTATATATGGCATTTTCATCACTGTGATGTGACATAGTGTCCAGAATGATCTGCCACTGTTCTCTCTCCTAGCTGCTGCTACTGCTGCTGCTGCCCAGCCACTTGGCTCCTAGCACACTTCTGAAAATAATGCATCACAAATTATAATCATATTTAGATGATCATATAAACAATGAGTGAAAGGTAGGTCTATACAGAGAGTACATAAGTATATACTATATATATATATATATATATATATTTTATATATATATATATATAAAATATATATATATATATATATATATATATATATATATATATAACAAGTCGGCCGTCTCCCACCGAGGCAGGGTGACCCAAAAAGAAAGAAAATCCCCAAAAAAAAAAAATATTTTCATCATCATTCAACACTTTCACCTCCCTCACACATAATCACTGTTTTTGCAGAGGTGCTCAGACTACAACAGTTTAGAAGTATATACGTATAAAGATACACAACATATCCCTCCGAAGTGCCAATATCCCAAACCCCTCCTTTAAAGTGCAGGCATTGTACTTCCCATTTCCAGGACTCACGTCCGGTTATATAAAATAACCGGTTTCCCTGAATCCCTTCACTAAATATTACCCTGATCACACTCCAACAGCTCGTCAGGTCCCAAATACCATTCGTCTCCATTCACTCCTATCTAACACGCTCACGCACGCTTGCTGGAAGTCCAAGCCCCTTACCCACAAAACCTCCTTTACCCCCTCCCTCCAACCTTCTCGAGGACCCCTACCCCGCCTTCCTTTCCCTACAGATTTATACGCTCTCCATGTCATTCTACTATGATCCATTCTCTCTAAATGACCAAACCACCTCAGTAGTAACAGCCTGGTTGATCAGGCTCTGATCCACCATGAGGCCTGGTCACAAACCGGGCCGCGGAGGCGTTGACCCCCGGAACTCTCTCCAGGTAAACACTTCCTAATTTCCACACTCCGAATTTTCTGCATAATATTTACACCACACATTGCCCTTAGACAGGACATCTCCACTGCCTCCAACCGTCTCCTCGCTGCTGCATTTACCACCCAAGCTTCACACCCATATAAGAGTGTTGGTACTACTAAACTTTCATACATTCCCTTCTTTGCCTCCATAGATAACGTTTTTTGACTCCACATATACCTCAACGCACCACTAGCCTTTTTTCTTTCATCAATTCTATGGTTAACCTCATCCTTCAAACATCCATCCGCCGACACGGCAACTCCCAAATATCTGAAAACATTCACTTCTTCCATACTCCTCCTCCCCAATTTGATATCCAATTTTCCTTTATCTAAATCATTTGATACCCTCATCACCTTACTATTTTCTATGTTCACTTTCAACTTTCTACCTTTACACACATTCCCAAACTCATCCACTAACCTTCTTAGTTTTTCTTTAGAATATCCCATATATATATATATATATATATATATATATATATATATATATATATATATATATATATATATATTATATATATAGTATATATACATATATACATGTATATATATATGCATATATACATGTATATATATATGCTTATATACATGTATATACATAATATTATATATATATAATATATCATGTGTATATATATATATAAATATATATATATATTATATTTTATATATATAATGTGTGTGTCGTGCCGAATATGTAAAACTTGCTATCTTGGCTTAAATAGCAACGCTCATCTTGCCATATAGGACAAGCAAAAATTTGTGTATGCAATAACCTCGCCAAAATCATTCTGAACCTAAAAAAAAAAATAAATTTCACTGTGTTTGTTTAGTATTAAATTATTGTAAACAAATCTAAAATATATATAGTTGGGTTAGGCTAAAATAAATTGTTCTTGCTATAATAAGGTTAGGTAAGTTTTCTAAGATTCTTTTGGTGCAAAATTAAAAATTTTTACATTAACATTAATGAAAAAAATATATATCTTTAAACGTATAAGAGAAAATTTTAGAAAGGACTTAATTTTAAACGAGTTCTTGCTAATTGACCAGTTTTACATATTCGGCACGACATTTATTTATATATATATATATTATATATATATATATATATATATATATATATATATATATATATATATATATATATATATATTATATATATATATATACTCTACAGTTTCCATCACATCAACTGATGTTATGAAGCTGAACCCACACTAAGACTGAAGGATTGATCAACTCAAACTTGATACATCAAGGCTGAGAGACTGATCACCTCATATCTACACTTCCCCTACTACTGTTGTCTCCAGGGCTGTGGAGTCGGCACATAAAACCTTCGACTCCGACTCCTTTATTTATGGCACTTCCGATTCAAACCCCTTTAATTACATTTTACCGATTCCAGCTCCAGTAACTCAAGAACTGCTTCCGACTCAGACTACAGTCCTGGTAGTCTCGCCTGTTTCTAGACAGAATAAGCCTGCTATGCAATGAAGATAAACTGCTACGGGACTTACACAGATGACAACAAGGAAATGAGTGAAATATTGAAATCCCAGTATGACTCTGTGTTTAGTGAACCACTAATCGGTCTGAGGATCGACGACCCAAATGATTTCTTCATGAATGAGCCTCAAAACTCCATAAATGTATGCCAGATTTCCGACATTACCCTAACTCCGACAGATTTCGAAAAAGCCATTGACAACATGCCTGTGCACTCAGCCCCGGGCCCAGACTCGTGGAACTCTGTTTTCATTAAGAACTGCAAGAAACCCCTCTCGCGTGCCCTAAGTACACTATGGAGGAGGAGCTTGGACATGGGTGAAATTCCAATCACTTAAAACAACGGATATAGCCCCACTCCATAAAGGTGGCAGCAAAGCATTAGCTAAGAACTATAGACCAATAGCTCTGACGTCCATCATAAAAATCTTTGAAAGAGTGCTAAGAAGCAGGATTGCAAATCACCTGGATTCCCAAAATCTGCACAATCCAGGGCAACATGGGTTCAGGGCAGGTCGCTCCTGCCTCTCACAACTACTGGATCACTATGATATGGCCTTGGATGCACTGGAAGAAAATCAGAATGCAGATGTAATATACACAGACTTTGCAAAAGCATTTGACAAATGCGATCATGGCGTAATAGCCCATAAAATACGTACTAAAGGAATAACTGGGAAAGTGGGGAGATGGATCTTCAACTTCCTAACAAATCGAACACAAAGAGTAGTGGTCAAACAGAGTTAAATCGGAGGCTGCCATAGTGAAGAGCTCTGTTCCACAAGGCACAGTACTCGCCCCCATCTTATTCCTCATCCTCATATCAGACATAGATAGAGATATACATCACAGCACCGTATCATCCTTTGCGGATGATACTAGGATCTGCATGAGGCTGTCATCTGCTGAGGACGCGGTCAACCTCCAAGAAGATATAAACAAAGTTTTCCAGTGGGCAACGGTAAACAATATGATGTTCAATGAGGACAAATTCCAACTACTCCGTTATGAAAAACTGGAGGAGATAATAACTAGAACAGAGTATACTACAGACTCTGGCCATACAATAGAGCGGAAAAATAATGTAAGGGACCTGGGAGTAGTAATGTCTGAGGATCTCACTTTCTAGGATCACAACAGTGCCACGACCGCACGTGCAAAGAAAATGATAGGATGGATAATGAGAACGTTCAAAACGAGAGATGTCAAGCCAATGATAATCCTTTTCAAATCACTTGTTCTATCTAGGCTGAAATACTGCTGTACATCAACATCTCCATTCAAAGCAGGTGAAATTGCAGATCTGGAGAGTGTACAGAGATCCTTTACTGCACGTATAAGTTCCGTCAAGCACCTTAACTACTGGGAACGCTTGGAAGCACTTGACTTGTACTCGTTGGAACGCAGGAGGGAGATATATATCATAATCTACACTTGGAAAATCCTGGAAGTAATGGTCCCAAATCTGCACACAGAAATCACTCCCTACGAAAGTAAAAGACTGGGCAGGCGATGCAAAATGCCCCTAATAAAAAGTAGGGGCGCCATTGGTACACTAAGGGAAAACACCATAAGTATCCGGGGCCCAAAACTGTTCAACAGCCTCCCATCAAGCATTAGGGGAATTGCCAATAAACCCCTGGCTGCCTTCAAGAGAGAGCTGGACAGATACCTAAAGTCAGTGCCGGATCAGCCGGGCTGTGGCTCGTACGTTGGACTGCGTGCGGCCAGCAGTAACAGCCTGGTTGATCAGGCCCTGATCCATCGGGAGGCCCGGTCATGGACTGGGCCGCGGGGGCGTTGATCCCCGGAATAACCTCCAGGTAACCAGGTATGTGTCTTACCATAAATGGGGGAGGGGAGAGGAGGAGGTATTAAGAGCATATTTATTTTATAAGAAGCTTGTCTTATGGCCTACCTGAAGGATACCTTAAGGGGTGTTTATAGAGGTCAACGCCCCCGCAGACCGGTCCCAGACCAGGCCTCCTGGTAGATCAAGGTTTGATGAACCAGGCTGTTACTGCTGGCCTCATGTGTTACAACGTACTAACTACAGCCCGACTGCTCAGGTACTGACTCAAGGAACTTATTAGCTTCCTCTTAAAGACAGCAAGGGGTCTGTTTGTGGTCCCCTTTATAAATGATTGAAGGCTGTTGAATAGCTCTGGACCTCCTACACTTAGTGTTCTTTCTCGGTGTATTCAATGACACGGGTGTTTTAATTAATTAACCGTCTGTTGAGTTTTTTTTATGCTTGGGGAAGTGATATCTGTTTGTAGATTTTATAACCAATCGTTCTAGAATTTCCCGGGCGTAAATTATGATGCATATTTCTCGCCTGCGTTCCAGGAAGGGCTTCAAACTTAAAATGAATTGCCTTCAAGGGAATTGTTAATGTACAACAATATTGCAGCCTTGAGAACAGTGATTTAAGGGAGACCATCACTGGTTTGCCATCTCTTGTTATGAAGGTTTCATTGTCCATCCTATTATTTTCTTCGCAGTTGTGACAATAACACTTATGATCCTTGAAAGTGAAATACTTTAATGATACCATTATCACGGTATTTTTACTGATGTTGGCAAGTCAGGCATATATGTGATATAAGTTACCTGTAATCACTTTC